TTGCCCCTGTGGGGCTTGCGGCCAGCCGAGTCGGCCTCGGGCTGCCCGCTGTACTCCTCGCCCCAGTCGATGGGGATGCCCTCGCCCAGCAGGTGCAGGTTGGGATCGCTGTTGTGCATGACCATGCTGTCGCGGTACAGGTTGTGCTTGCGCTGCACGGCTGCCTCCTTCACAGCTGGGGACACCGAGAGAGATGTCAGAGGGGCTGGGGACACGGGGCAGCACCCAGCAGGCTCGGGCATCTCTCCCAGTCCTCCCCTTGGGTGTAGGGTGCAGGGAGAGGGGTCTGGAGCCAGGCAGAGGGTTCAGCATCCCACCCACTGCTCAGCCCTGCCGGCGGGCAGGATGCTTTTGGTACGGCCCCCCGCACCCCGCATGGCGTCACCCCCTCCTCGTACGGCCCCCAGCACCCTGCTCAGGGTCACCCCTCCTCGAACAGCCCCCAGGCCTCTACATGGGGTCACCCCCCACCTCCTGTGGTCCCACACGCCCTGCATGGTGTCACCCCCTCCTCGTACAGCCCCCAGGACTCTACATGGGGTCACCCCCCTCCTCCTATGGTCCCCACCACCCTGCATGGCGTCACCCCCTCCTCGTACAGCCCCCAGCCCCCAGCACGGTGTCACCCTCTCCTTGTACAGCCCCCAGCATCACACATGGTGTCACCCCCTCTTCCTATGGTCCCCAGCACCCCGCGCAGTGTCACCCCTCCTCCTACTGCCCCCAGGACTCTACGTGGGATCATCCCCCTCATCCTATGGGTCTCATCACCCTTCACGGTGTCACCCCCTCCTCGTACAGCCCCCAGCACCCTGCTCAGGGTCACCCCTCCTCATACAGCCCCCAGGACTCTACATGGGGTCATCCCCCTCCTCCTATGGTCCCCACCACCCTGCATGGTGCCACCCCCTCCTTGTACAGCCGCAAGCACCCTGCTTGGGGTCACCCCTCCTTGTACAGCCCTCAGCAGCCCACACGGGGTCATCCCCTCATCCTGTGATCCCCACCACCCTGCATGGTGTCACCCCCTCCCCGTACAGCCCCCACTACCCTGCACGGAGGTCATCTCCTCCTCATAACAGCACCCAAGACTCTACGTGGGGTCACCCCTCCTTGTACAGCCCCCCAGCACCCCGACTGGGATCACCCTCTCCTCCTACTGTCCCCAGCACCCATCACGGACCCTCCAGGTGCCACTGGCCTTACACTCATTCCACCCACCACCCACCACCCACCCCAGGGTGCTGGTGACCCAGAGACACAGCGCCGAGCGGCTCCAGGCTCCCCGGCACCGCGGGACCCTACCTTGCATGATGTCTTTCATCACCGACTGGAGCACGACCTCCTCGTAAGTGTTCTCCACCAGGATGAAGCGGGCAAAGTCCTCGAAGATCAACTCCTGAAACTTGGCTAATTCCTGCCGCGGGGGGAGAGGCAGCTCAGCCCCAGGAGGGGGGGGCAGGAGGGAGGGATGCTCCAGCCCCTCTGCAGGGGGTGGTCCTTCCCCCCCGACCCCCCCCCCCCCCCCCCCACCCCAAACTTTACCCTCTTACCCCTTTGCAGGTCGGCGCCAGCTTTTTCAGGAGGAAGGGGATGGTGATCTGCAGCAGAGCCTCCCTGAAGAACTTCTTCCGCACGGTGCTGCTGTCGTAGTCGTATTTCTGCAGGGCGAGCGGGAGGGCAGCCCCGGGTCAAAGAACGCCCGTGGGCACAACCCCCATTTCCCCCCACCCCACCCCATTCGCATGGGGCACGAGCAGGTTCCTCTGCCCCTCGACTCCTTCTCTCCAGCCAGTTCCCGGGGTGTCTGAGCCCGGGTAGGAGCCAGCTCCTCCACCACTGTCTGCAGAAGGGTTTTGGGATCAGTCTGAACCGCATGAGGCTTTTTACAGTGATGCACGTGGTCAGAGGTGACCTGGCTCCTCCAAGTTTCCCGCTTGCCTGCCCCACATGCCAGCCAAATGCATGAAAATCTCAGTATAAAGACAAATTTCCCCAGAAGACTATTATTAAAATCGGAAAGGTCACTCCTATCCTCTTCCCCGGGGTCCTGGCCCGTGGAGTAAGGCCACGGAAGGCCACCGAAAGCCACCGAAGCCCCCGACCTGCCGCCCCTCACCTTGAGCACCCTCTCGAGGATGCGCTGGATGGATTTGCACAAGTCGTCTTTGCCCTGCAGCTTCCCCACCTCCTGATGGAGCAGCGTCTCGAACGTGTACACGGCGTCGTCCATTTGCTGGGAGCAGAGGCAGAAGGTCAGGGGGGACCCGAAGGGAACCCACCACGGGGGTGGGCAGGGGACATCACCACGATGAGCCTTCACACTGGTAAGGTCCTCGGCATCCCAGTGCGGCATCTACGGGCTCCACCCTGAGGACCGAGGGTGCTGGGGGAGGAGGGGGCCCAAAGCTGATTTGCAACCCCCACTCCTTCGACACCCCGCTCCAGGTTTGGCTGGATTAGACTCCCAAACTGGGCTACCGGCCTTGCTGGTGGCAGTGGGCTCAGTGGGAAAGGGGCAGCTGTGCCGTGACGCCCAAGCCTGGGTGCTGAGTCCACGTGGGAAGGGTGCCCAGTGCTGCTGCCCACCCGTGGGCTCCCTCCCTGCGTGGGCTTCAGCCCAAAGGGAACGCCCAGATCCACCACACACCCTTAGCTGGGTGCCAGTGCCATGGAGGTCCCTGAGACAGGACGGACAACCCAGCCAAACCCCTGCCGGGGTTGGACCAGCCTGGGCTCCCTGTTCTGCCCTCCGCGCTCAGCCCGGGGGCACACGGGAGGACCCCTGTCCCCGTCCCACCTGTCTCATGTGGATCTGAGCCCTCTGCTTGAAGACGGACGTGCTGGAGACGTCGAACCGCTGCTGAAGGCCCTCCAATTTCAGCTGGTCCATCTTCTCATAGCACGACTGCATCTTGACGGGGTGGAAGGCCAGGTGGGAAAGCTTCTCCATGTACTGGGGATAAAGCCAAACTCAGTAGGGCAGGACAGCCTCTCCGTGCGCTGGGACATGCCACCCCACACAGGCTTCATCCCCATGTATTTTCTCAGCCCGGGGTCCCCCAGCGCTGTCCACACTGAGGTTGGCAGCAGGACTGGCCCTGCCACCCCCAAGCCCCACTGGCCAGCAAGGACCATCGCCAGGTCTCACCTCTGCCAGCTTCTCCATGCCACCTTCATTGACGACGTTCATGTTCATGTCAGTCACCTCCTTGAAGAACACCTCCCGCACCTCGGCAAAGCCCTGGCTTGTGGGGGTCATCAGGGCTTCCAGGATGGAGGAGATGTAAGGCTGGACATGGTTACGGACACAGATCTCCGCTTTGGGGAGGACGAACGCTGGGCAGAGAACAAGGGTAAGCATGGTGAGGCTCCTCCTTTGCCCTTCCAGCTCTGCAAATCAGGTCCTTAACCCACCCTAGGGAGGGGGAGCTGCCCCTCTCCCCAAGTCCCTCCAGAAAAGGTCTCCCAGACTTACAGGACAACGCAAGGGGTTCTTGCAGGGGTTCCGTCTGTATTGAACCTGTTCCTGCCCCATTGCCTTGCTTGGGGGGGTGTCACTGCCCACCTTGTCCCCCACCTCTTGGGACAACGCCAATGAGAACACGCATCGTGGCCACTCTGGTTGCTGGCACGTCCCCAAGGGTTGCAGGCCATGCTGGCAGAAGCCATGCTGCACCCCAGGAACAGCCATGCCTTGGTGAAACAGAGGTGGCACCACGCCAGGAGCTGGTCACGGACACAGCCACACACATCCATGTCCCCGTGTCTCCCTGCAGGGCTGTACCTCGGATCTTGCTGGCCAAGTGCTCCTTCGAAGTGATGATCTGGTCCATGTCTGTGCGGATGGTGCTCTCCATCTGGGGTCGCTCCTGTTCGCACTTGGCCATTGCTGCATCGTACTGGGCCTTGGTCTGCTCATAGACCATCCTATAGACGGCATCTGAGATCTGGTGAGAGAGAGATGGGGTGGTCAGCTGCCCCCCATGCCTCCTGCTGCCCCGCTAACCATTGCCTCCAGCACCAGATGCCCGCAGGACCTGCCGAGCCTCCACCCATGCCCTGACCAGACTCCTTCTCGCAGCCTGCCAGTAGGTTTTCCACACCAGGGACCCCCCAGCTGGGTGAGATGAAGCTCCCACGGTGCAGAAGCTACTTCAAAGCAGTGTCCAAGGGTCACAGAGCCGAGTGCTGCCTGCTTCAGCAAGCCTGCCTCAGGCATGTCCGGGGATGCTGGTGGTCCAGGGATCACAGCATCCCAGACTGGTGAGGGCTGGAAGGGCCCTCTGGAGCTCCCCCATCCCACCCCCCGCCAGAGCAGGGGCACCTCCAGCAGTGGCACAGGACGGCGTCCAGGCGGGTTTGGGATGGCTCCAGAGGGGGAGACTCCCCCACCTCTCTG